GCCGCGGTGGGAAGCCAGCGACTAACTGCTTGATCTAGGGCGGGGCCCGATGGGTTGGTTAGTTTCCAAAGTTTTCAAATTTGTGGGTTGATTAGATTTAAAAAACTCTGCTCCATGGAATTAGTGGATTGGTTAGATCTCAAAAACTCTGCTCCATGGAATTAGTGGGTTGGTTTGACTGGGAGATACATGCCCAAGTGCGTGAGGGCAGTGGACAGAAAATAAGCTTATTACGAACTGCATGACATGAGCTACATTCCAGACAAGATTGGGAATTATACTTTTTACTAGCATGACCGCATCCACGTGTCCATCAGTTCATTGGTCTCTCCCAAAAGAGCAACATGATAATAAACTGACAAATTTCTGAAGCTAGACAGGTTAGAATTCGTACAGAGAGAGATAAAAATAAGTACAACTTCTGTATAAATATTGCATTAAAAAATTATCAATATGGCGAAGGTTGCAACACTTTGAGGTTATGAACTGTATCTACAAAATTTAACATAAATTTAACTGACATCTGTATTACTGATTATAATATATAACCACACAAGGCTAATTAAATTACATCACTGTAAATTACATCCTTTGCTAGGCTGACAGGCTGAAGCATCTGATAAGACACTAGGCACTGCAATTTAATGCTCCCATTTCTACGAACGTACAAATCGGATCTGGCGCCAACTCCGACTGCTGCACAATGGGGGCAGCTGGAGCGTGGCCTTGACCACTAATTTCTGGTGACGAGACTAAAAATCCACAGAGTTTTACTTATATTCCCTGCATATGCTTTGGCATACACGCAACATTACCCTTGGCCGCGCCATGGCTCAAGCGGTTAGTCGCTGGCTTCCCACCGCGGCGGCCCGGGTTCGATCCTGGGGTCTGATGAAGTGGGATTTGTGGTGGACAAAGTGGCGCTGGGGCGGGTTTTCTCCGAGAACTTCGGTTTCCCCTGCCAATCTTCATTCCACCAAATTCTCCATCATCATAATCACCCGGGGCAGGTACAATAGGCCAATCAGTTGCCGCCGTGCCGAGTGGACCCAACTGGACTCCATCCCCCACTATGCGATTGCACGTATGGGTGTGTGTGAAATTCATTCTGAAACACAACTCACACCTGGGCTTCATCGTGACTCCAATGCTAACGAAACGTAATTGTTAAGATCGTTCCTAGGATCACATATGTGTTCTGCAATCGTGCCAGAAAGGCGTGTAAGTGGATTGGAGGTTAGGTTAACGTGTGAGCGACCACGGTGACTGCGAGCAGAGAAGAAGTACGGCTTTTCATATGGTAACTGCAACACATTTGTGTCGTATTTCATTAGCGCTGACTTCTGTTTGATCTCTTTCATTTCCCGTCAATTCAACCCCGTTAGAACAGACGGCCTACCGAGAAAAGAGCAATGCGCCTTGAAGCAGAAAGACATGACACAGACAACAAAGGCGTTAGAAGGGAATCATTTCTGAGGCCGTATTCGCTGCTCAAAGAGACTAGAGGCACGGGAACGCCGGTCTTCGGGTCCTCAGCATCTACAGAGATCTACTTCATACAGAGTTAACATTTCTCTAATGAATGTCCACTATGAGAAATTTCCAAAGTTTCCAGTTCAAACACTTTCTCTCTGTAAAATCGTTATGCTTATTGAAGTGAAGAGACCTACAAACATCTGCAATCATTTATAAATCACGAGGAAAAATGTAGATAATTGGATAACTTTGAAATAAATTTCTTATCGATATTACAGAGTAGGTTGACGCTGGGATATCTCAGTCAGTACGGTAAGTAGGCTACGGGCTGGAGTGTCATTCCACAGCAAAGACAAGAGTGTGTTCCCTTCTCCGCAGTGACCCTACCAGTTCTGATCACGCTTTTCCCTGAAACAGTTACGTTTCATGAAATTTTCCACTACAAATATTTCAACATAGTATAATAAAAGTGTAATCCCTATACTGACGATCACGGTGGCCGCGCGGTCTAAGGCATAAATTGTCTTCGCCCGTTCAAACACTGGAATCGTGGGTTCGAATCCAACTCAAGTCATTGGCGTCTGTATGTGTTTATTCTGTGTTTGTGCTGTCCTGTATAAGTAGCGGTCTTTGGCTGATCCCCGTCCAAGGAGTCCTACCGACTGTCTTAGGATTAAGAAACTTAAATGAAACAAAGCGTTTCGCGGATGCACTATGCCCCAAAGTGGAAACCCTATTAAAAAGAGGGCAAGAGAGAGAGAGAGAGAGAGAATCCCCATATTGGGTTAACCGACCCCTGTTTCATGACTGCATTATTTGTGGCGAATTTTCATTGTCATACCACGAAATAAGGTTTGTTGCGAAATTGGGTAGGCTCATCCAAAATATAAATCAGGTAAACTGGCCACAGCCATAACTCTTCTACCTAGCCCGGTTCAAACTTCGGTCACAACAAGACTAAACAGAATGAAGGGTTTCATGATTTCCTGAGTACCTACAGGCAAACTCCGGGGCAGCACCTCAAAATAAGAAACGAAAGTTGTCCCTGTGCTTAATTAATTAAACACCATGCCATATAGATATACATATGAGGGTGTGGAGGTATACATACAAGTATTAACCTCATCTCTAGACGGAAGTGAGTCGTCAGGTTGAAGCCCCGGCCGCTCACCGCTAGGGAGAGCCCCTGGTACCCATCAGATAGGAGGCTGGGTGAGCCCCAGGCATGGTATGGATGATATGGAGAAGAGAAAAGCCTCCTGCCGCCGCCAGGAACAAACTGATTGGCGATAACCCGCCAGTCGCAAAGTAACTCTGACCCTCTGCAGCAAACATTCGCAGCAGCTACACACGATACAACAGGAGCTGCTCATCACCACAGGGTAAGTACATATACAGGTATACCGTAAGACACACCAACACATGTCAAATACAAAATACTAATTCAAGATACTGTGGCATGTAGGCCAGTTGCTGGGCAGCGACTGAGAAATGAGCAGCTATACAACAGCCGCTGCTAGGTAATGGTTCTGAAAACAACGACCGTTGCTAGGTAGTGGCCGCCAACAGGTTCGTAAAATGCAGCAATGGAATGACTGGAAGGTGGTGTTCTCTGCGCGGCCCGTGCGATTGTTACGTAACGCAACTGAGGAAATGTTGGGATGTTTTCTATGGGATTCGTGCCGACGTTATATAGCGAGGAGGAGTGGCGATTGCGAGAGAGTCTAGGGGCTTGAGACGGCAGTGAGAAGGTTAAGAGGTTCGTGTACGATGGCCGCCAGCCTGGGAGTCAGTGGAGTGAAGTGCGTTAGTTGGTGAGTGACATAGTCTTGAGTTAAGCAGCTGGAAGCCAGTTAGTACAGCTAAGGAGCTTCAGTGAAATAGGCTACAGCTAACGAGGATGTGAAGCCGTGAATATGGATGCTGACGGATCTACGGCGTTGGAAGCCGTTATAAGACAACGACTGGTGAAGACACAGTAGACTTAATACGTGCTGTAGTGAACTGCAGAGTGTGTGAATTAGCGATTGTGCTATAGTTATTTTTAGTTACGATCTGTAAATGTTCAATAAATCCAATTACCAACCAAAATCCCGCCCTAAACTAAAAAAACTCCGTGGCTTTTAGTCCGCAAGCGAACTATACCGACCAAGCGACAGCCGCTTGTTGGCGAAGTTAGTGCCAACTTTTGAGGATAGAGGGTGTCGCGTGGTCAGCGCAACGGATCCCCACGGACATTAATCTCGGTTTTCTAGGCCGGACCAAACCCCGCCTAGTCACTTAATCACGTAACAATGCTAACACATGTTATAGACACATGGGCGCATAGACTAGGGCATATCCCGAAAACTGAACTTACGGACGGAAACACGCGAGTTTCACCAGCATGACCAATGTTGCTCGAAACATGCAGTGTGCATACACCAGTGATATAAAAGAGTTTCTTAACGTTTACAACTTTTAAAAGTTTCAAAAGCAAGTTACATGTGAGATGGCTAATAACTAAGTAGAATAAATCTTATAGTAAAATGCATTCCAGTTCGTTACAACAGGACGCTAAAATATAACATTAGTATTCCAGTTCGTTATCATAACGCTTCATCCGCGTGTGTGAAAATAAGCACCGTGCAGGAACTTTCAGTTTCACCTTTATACACTGCATAAAATTCAAACAATTCAGAAGTTCATTTCTGAAACGCAAAAAAAAAACCCAAATATATGCAATAATATTTTGTCAAAAAAAATCTAAAAATTCCTTAACATAACACTGTCTCCAATTTCAACATATATGTCATAATAACAGTCAATTTTTATTACTTCTCTTTTCATACTGACATCTTCTGTTAACTGCTCATTATGTTAATCTGTATTGTTTCAAAACATTAGTTATACTTATTCAATAATCATTTAATTATACTTTCTTCGTGCACCTTTTCATTATAAATTATTTCGCCAGTGTTGAGTCTATATTTTCAGTTCATTTTATTGCTAGTGGGGTGGGACTAAGTCTCTTGTACTGCGGCCACTTCTGGCCTCTTGTACCAGCCCCAGATGATAGGTGAGGGTGATTGTGGAGCAATTGGTGGAATGAAGATTAGCAGGGGAAACCGAAGTACTTGAAGAAAACCTGCCCCACCGCCACTTTGTCCACCACAAATTCCATNCTTGACCAGACCGGGGATCGAACCCGGGCCGCCGCGGTGGAAAGCCAGCGACTAACCGCTTGAGCTATGGCGCGGCCTCCTTATATTTTCAGTTAAAGTTCTTACAGTAAAGAGACCTCAAACTAGCGCAGAGGTCAAGAAACCTTGGATCTATACATCCACTCTTCCATAGGCTTTCATGGCGAAATGCTTAATTAGTTATGCACATGGACAACTTTACCTTATAGTGAAAGGATTTCGATAACCACTTAACCCTAAAACAATTCTCGTAGTTTGTCCTGAGTTTATTTCGGCGCTGACATCAAGGCGGGTTCAGGCCCAATCAGGCAAGTGAATAGCAGACAACACACACTGACTTACCTCACATTCTCGTGCCTCTGGATGTAAATCTTGTGGAACTGCCCTTCAACAGGAGAGATGATGTCCGCCTTCATCTCCATAGCCACATGCTGAGGCAGGACTGACAGCAGTAACCGCTCCTGCAAGCAAATTCACTGTTTCTGTATCTAGTTCAGACGTGGCCAAACTGGAGTTCGCGAGCAGCGTGCAGCTCTTAGGGCGGCTAGCGGAGAAAATTCTTTTTTCCCTTGGCACTACAGCCTCAGTGGGCCTAGGCTTACTTCCATGAACTTCTCCGTTCACTTCGGTTTTTCTAGATCTTACACATTTGGTAGGACTCCTTGGGCGGGTGATCAGCTCGTCGCAAGGCCTCTACCTGTATACAAACACAGAAAAACGCACACAAACATCCATGTCCTGAGTGGGATTCGAATCCACGATCCCGGTTTCCAAGCGAGCGAAGACAGTACATGCCTTAGACTGCTCGGCTACCGTGACCGGCAGCGGAGAAAATAGTAAACATTTTTTTTTCTCACAACTAAATTGAACACACACAAAAATTCTGCTCCATGGAAGGCATAACACATATGGTATCTACTTCACCTGTTCGCGGTTCCGATGTTCAGTAAGACTGACCGCTCAGTTAACATGTGGAGCTCCACCTCCGCTCTTCCGTACAGCGAAAGAGCGTGGTAATTAATTAAGTCTGTGGACAGCTTTATCTATATATCTCGAGTGCGCTACTGACTTCCTCGCTACTGTGACGATAGCAGAGGGCCCTTTAGAACGTCACATTAACTGAATGCAGGTCAACTATCTGCCCTAAAACATCAACCAGAGGTGTACTTGGTTTAAATGAGACACATCAGCTGCTGGTCTATGCTGATAGATGTGAATCTACTGTGTGATAACATAGATACCATAGAAAACACAGATGCTTAAATTGGAGCTAGTAAGGAGGTTGGTATAGACGCAAAGGCAGAGAAAACAAAGTACATGTTGCTGTCTCGTCAACAGAATGCAGGATCCTAGGACAGGATGAGCAGCGGCAAGGGAAAGATGAGGAATTCCTACAAAGTTTCACTTGTAAATACTGAAGAAAGTCTCAACTTGGAAGATCCGGGAATAGATGGGAGGCCAATATTAATATGGATACGTGTATTAAACAAACATGATCGGAGTATGTGGGATGGATTCAACCAGCTAAGGAATAATGATTTTCAGTTTTCAACAGAAGGAATAGCTGCGCAATGTTACTTCTAACAAATTATTATACAAATAGGCCTAGGTATCAAACACAAAATTTCAGGGAAGTTAATATCACTGATGTCTTTCCACCTCACATGTCAGTGCTGCCATGTTGGTATTGCTTAAAAGTGGAACAAACAGAACCAAAATGGGACGACGCTCAGTGGCATGATGTTCATACCGAGCTTAAAGAAAACCGTCCAATAAGAGTAAACAACACTGATCTCGTTAGGTGAACCAGCGACAGAGAGCCCCATACAGCAAGTCAGTACGATTGCGAAAAGGGTAACTTTCTCTTCCTGGTCCCTAAACATGGAGAAATGGTCCTGAAGACAATTAAAGCACACGAAGCTGTAAAGTAAACTTCTTTCAGCTATAAAGANATACCGAGCTTAAAGAAAACCGTCCAATAAGAGTAAACAACACTGACGTCGTTAGGTGAACCAGCGACAGAGAGTCCCATACAGCAAGTCAGTACGATGGCGAAAAGGGTAACTTTCTCTTCCCGGTCCGTAAACATGGAGAAATAGTCCTGAAGACAATTAAAAGCACACGAAGCTGTAAAGTAAACTTGTTTCAGCTATAAAGTTTTATACGGCATGCTTATATACAAGAGCAGAGAAAGGAAAACAGTGACCACTTGTTGAACACTACAGACACGAGGAGAAGGCACACAAACAACACACAAGAGTAGTCACCAGGTCTTGAATGCTACGGAGACTTGTTGAAACAGCAACCCCCTCCATACCATCGCTTCCCTCAGACACACGAAGATGTTTCATGAGTGATGTCACTTTGATTCTCAACCCAGCAGATTGTGACTGCCTGTGGTCCGTGTGTGTCTCCCTACATATTGACCCGAATTAATGGACAGCTTTGGGAAGACTTGGCACCAACATACTGGTACTTGTAATTCCAAACAATTGTCACCAGCACATTACGGCCACTCAAGTTTATGATGCTGGAGTAAATTTTATGTCAATTTATGTATTTACTTGTATTCATATCAACCCTGTCAATATTTGTAAGATTTGAGGCTTTCACGGCCGTGACTATGAAGAATGCCGTCTTCTGGGATGTGGCGTCGTGTAGATATTGCATAAACCGACGTTTCGGAGGAACGATGTGGCGCCATGTAGTACATAAACCGATGACTGTGGCAACCTGCTCACGCTGGTCCCTCGCTCGCGGATTCTTTCTTTCTTCTGCCCTGAAGATGGAGGCGATACGTTCCTCCGAAACGTAGGTTTACACAATATGTACACGGCGTCAGATCCCAGAAGACGGCATTCTTCCTGTCAAAGTCAAAGTCACATTGAGACTGACGGTCAGTCAGTAAGTCTTGGTTCCGAGCCTCATATTGGGCTCATGACCAGATATTTATACTGTTTGACAGTTACTGTTTTGTTTCTGTGGGGCGCCCTTCTGACGAGAGGACGGGTCTGTCTTTTATATATGCTGCTGGACCTTGCCAGCGCAGTCTTTCTCGGGTCCGAGTCCCTTGGGACTTGCGACCATATTTTACTGTCTCAGATTTGAGACTTCCCTCTTCGTCACCTCTGCGACTCGCAGGGTCACGGTGGAGGTATTCGACCCTGCGTCCTCACGGGTCTCTTCCTGTCAAAATTGTTCCGCCCTATATACATACAGTGGAACAAGGTACACGTGTACCTGATGATGGCGGTATAGGAGCAAACCATTTAGTGACAGAGAAGCAGCACATGAAAGCAAGTTGCATTTGAGACGCAAATATACAAGTAAATACAGGAAACTGCATAAATCACTTCTTCGTTAAGATTTCTAGGCATTTAGTCAGGCTGCCTAGACCTGAAACCAAAAGAATTATGCATTTGGGATGGTCAAATACAAACGCACTGAATTATGATATACATCTAGACTGTGACTTTCTGAGTTGTGACACAGTATAGTCTTGTACACTGATACAGCGCAATGAATCAATCGCTGCCACAGAACAATCAGTTCACATCTCACACAACATGACAGGAACACTGCACAGCACACAGTGCCTAGGTTATTTGGCAAAGTGTCTGATCACATGGGGCAGCAGCAGAAATCTAGTTACGACTACAAACTAGGAAGGAAATCGAAGGAGGTGGGCGTAGCCCATTGTGAGGATATTTAGTGGCTATGCAGGGGCATGGCGTCTTCACTAATGCAGATGCTTCGGTGAATATTCTGCTTGATTTCTCGGAGTATTCCTAGAGCCTGAAAATGGATGCAGTTTGTTCCTCCGAAAGGTCGATTAACTTCTAGTGGAATATACGGCGTCATATGACAGAAGACAGTACTTTCAGTCACCTCCGACAGAACCTCGGATCTCGGATTATAACTCTGTTCGCCGTATCAAAAATAAAATGCAGGCTTTCATAGCACAGAGATCCACAAGAAGATTTATGCGAAACATTTCGGAATATGATTTATGTTCAACGAAAGAGTGACGAATTGCTTATGTCTACGCAGGGACGTACGGTAAGTCGCCGGCTTCCCACTGGGGTGGTGAGGTCATATGGGATTTCTGGTGGAAAAAGTGGCACTGCGGTAGGTTTTCTCCGAGTACATCGGTTTCCCCTGCCAATTCTCATTCCACCGACGGCTCCACATTCATCATCTATCGTCAAGGGTTGGTACAATAGGCCAATTAGAGCCGACGTACAAAGTGGACACAGTTTTACCTCACCCCAAGAAATAATAATAAAAAAATTGACTACGCAGTGTTAGGCTGTAAGTATCGTATTAATACTGGACACACAGATCTCTACCTACAGCAAGTGGACACGGAGGCTAATGCGGTAAGTAAACTCGCAAAGAACACGCCTGTGAAATGTGTACACCAACTGGGCAACGGTTCGCTATCGCCTGAACGAAACGTTAGTATGGCGAACATCATGCTTAAGCTGCCTCTGCGCAGCCGTGAAGTTCATGAACTTGCGAGACACCGATGTTGGCTCCAAGGCAATGGCGCGTGGAGTCTGCTTGTAGCTGCCACACAGTCTACCGAGCACACGTGTTCCTGCTGACGGCTTTCATACCTCTCATATGAATATTTCATGGTAATCGTGACGCGTCACTCACACAGTGGTAGTCGATGAGCGAAGCCGTCTAAAATGGTTTGTTGTTTTCCTGGAACGCCAGATGAGATATTTCGCGAATTTACTCTCATATGTCTCAAATTATAGGATATTCATACGTCGGAGACTTCGGGTTCGATTTCGTGCCTGAGATCTCTTTGCATTTCCTCACTCAAAACCGCGACTCCCAAACTTGTTCAGTGTGAGGCTCGCTTGATATCAAGAAAACGTCTGAGGCTCACAAGACAACTTCAAATGCGGCTCCAATTATTAATGGACCACAATATCTATGAAACTGGTGGGAAGGCCGGAAGGAAGGAGACCACTGGGAAGATCAAGACGTAGGTGGGTGGATAATATTAAAATGGACCTTAGAGATATAGGATGGGATGGTATGAATTTCATTGATGTGGCTCAGGATAGGGAACAGTGGAGGGCTCTTGTGAACACGGTATTGAACCTTCGGGTTCCATAAAGTGTTGGGAAGTTCTTGAGTAGCTGCACAAATGGCAGCTTCTCAAGATGGGCTCAGCTCCATGAGTGAGTGAGTGAGCGAGTAAGTGAATATCCGTAAAATATTTTCTCTGTTAAATTCTATGTAAGTAATTTAATGTGACTTTTCTTATTAATTTATAAGTATTCGAAGTGCTGAAAGCAGAGCCGAATGCACACTAGATCACTGAAGGGCCAATACAGGCATTCCCCTTATGCAATAATTCATTCGATTTATATGTATTATGATCATAAAGGTAAAGCTGTCCCTGTAATAGGCCATGAAGGCCCATAGGGTTGTGAGACGTCGAGGCTCCCACATTATCTAGACAGTCGGTTCACAGATGGCGGTAAGGCTGTCAGCATTACGCGCCGCCCGCCATTCACCCCGCTGTAAGATTCTAAGTACTTAGTTGTTAGAGGCTGAGTGGACCCCAGGGCCATAGTGCAGCTGGCAGGATTAGGTCAACTGAAAAAATCCAATGACCTGGCTGAGTCCACTTGGTACGTCGGCCACTATCTGGCCTGTTGTACCAGCCCTGGATAATAGATGATGAATGTTGAGCAATCGGTGAAATACAAATAGGCAGGGGAAACCGAAGTACTCCGAGAAAACCTACCCCAGCGCCACTTTGTCCACCACAAATCCCACATGTCCTGATCTGGACTCGAATAAGGGCCGCCGAGGTGGGAAACGCGCGACTAACAGCCTGAACTATGGCACGGCCAGTTGCATATCTTTGTCAACTTACCATTCATAATCATGCCCTTTATGAACGCTATAAACTAGCTATCACTGTACCAAACCGTGGAGGCTCATAGGTTTGAGATGTTGAGACTCACACATTTTATACACAATCGGCTCACAGACGGTGGTGAGGTTGTTAGCCTTACGCGCCGGCCGGCCTTTAGCCTCTAGGATGATTCCTGGCACTCATTTCTGTTGGAGGCTGAAAGGATCAGGTCAACTGAAAGATCAAATGACTTGACCGGGATTCGTACCCGCGACTTTCCGGCTTGTAGCACAGTGCCTTAACTAACTACGCTACCGCGTGCCCCCCTATGAGCGCTATATAGCCTATTACTTTCAGATAAATTCCTTAAACAGAGAAATACAAAGACAAGACAGGCGAAGAATACGACGAGGCTGGTAACAGAACAGGATCGTAAAGAGTAGAGCCGTTTCGCGGCATCCACGCACACGGAGCTGAGAATGCGCCTTCAGGAGACTTCGAAATATAAAGTAAACCGAACACGTGAAGAACACAATGGTAGCAACCGAGGTCATCAGACACATACCCCAGTTCGTAGCAAACAGGAGCTTAATACTGCTATTTCGAATATATCCTGTAGGGTAGTTGTTTGCTGACGTTTACGAGTCGCTTGGGGCTTTGATGCTAAGCTTCCAGAATGACGGACTAAAAGCAAATCTCTCTCTATCCATCATTTCCTGAATCGTATGAATTTGAAGTAATTTCATGTTATTTATATATTGTGACATGACGCCTGAAAGCCGGAATGTGATCATCTACTGGGCGGCGCTTTGCTGAGCACATTCCTACCGCAACGCGGAACAAACAGCTGCTGGACAACGGTTTTTGGTAGACACGCAGTACCGTGGCAACGGATATGTAGATTACCACAGACGAACAGTTCAAGTGTGTTCTCACTGCGGTCCGCACCGGGTTATAAAAGGGCACGTAACTGATTCGCAGTCAGTCGTGCTGAGTAGCAGAAGACTAGTGACTAGAGACTCTTCAAGATTCGAACAGCGACAGATTTCTCAGACAGACGTCGTTAAGAATGTATTCAATGTGTGAGCTGTTATAACCAAGTGTAATTGCAATAGAGGCGTCCAATAAATCCAATTATCAAATCTAAAAACCACAATTATTCGTCACATTTATACCGCATACGCGCCAATGTTATAATCGGCGGGCCTGACTGCGGTAATTCATGGCTTTCCTCAGCCCTTCCAAGCAAATACTGAAATAATTCCTTAATTGAAGCAAATATTTCTTCCATTCGCATCACAACCCTTTATGTTACCCTCACAACGTCATGCGTTACTAAATATGCCAGGATATAAAAATATTCAAAAACTTAATTCAAAGTCCCGTTATCACGGAATCAGAAGTTTCAAGCGAAACGCAAAAAGCATTACGTCCTGATTTTCGATATGTTTAAATCTGTACATGATCTGCCAAGATGGCGTCAAATCCGGCACTAACAGTAACCGTCCAATTTCTGGCCTTCCACTGGGATCTGCCTTCCATTACGCGCTATCATGAAACAGTTATCAGAAAACTAAAGCATACACCTTTAAAATATGTAACATCTCATACATACAAATGAAAGAGAACTAACTGATAACTTTGTTCATTTTCGTGTCCGATGAAAATAAACCGACAGAAATTCCATCCTACGTCGACCCTTCTGCCTATCGAGCGATCGATATCACTTCCCAGACACCGATCGCCATTCGTTATTTATGGCCGGCGTTTTGTTCCCATCCAATTATCACATTTCACCAACTCCTGTGTCAGTTCACGTGACCTGCAGCCAAAACGTCCAGTTCCACATAAGCACAATCCCAGGACAGTGCTTCAACGCGGGAACGAAACTTCCGGTTCGGGGAATTTTCTGACCTGCATTTGTTTACGCAAATCTTACCAATTTCTCATTCTCGTCCTCCATTTCGAGACGCGCAGCGATGCAGTTTCGGGTGTCTAGGAACGCCTTCCTCTGGGCGTGCTCCATCAGATTGTGCATGAACACGCCCACAACGTTCACGCACACGAACACGATCACGTTCGCCGTCGCCTGCAACAAAACAGGGATATCAAAACACTTAAATGACACATGCCTTTGGGTACGTTCATTGTGTGTATGGGTACACAGAATTATACAACGTTTTGGGGACTAACAGCTTCTACAGAGTAGATTTGCCTACCATTTCCTATCCCTCTCTCTCTCTCTCTCTCTCACACACACAAACACACACACACACGTGCGCACGCGCACTCAAAACTGAAATAATAAAATTACAACTACGAGCTGGACAACAGAGGAGTCGGCGTTCGAGTCCCTGTAGGGTCAAGAATTTTCTCTTCTCTACATCGTTCAGACCGGTTCTGGGGCCCACCCTGCCTCTTTCATCGGGGGTAAAGCGGCCGAGGCATGAAGCTGACCACTCACCTACAAGTGCCGAAGTCAAGAAAATTAGGATGTATACATCCACTCCCCCATACGTCTTCATGACGTCGGGCTTAATTAGTTAAGCACAGGGACAACTTTACCTTTATCACGTAACTTTACTATCTAAGCAATAACTGATAATAAAACACAGAATTTCCACAAACAATATTAAAAACGCCTGTAGGATTTTGATTCTTAGCAACGTCATGCCCACTATACGTATTTTATTAAAAATAATGCCCGCGACATTCAACTGTCAATTCCTTTATTAATAAGATTAATCTGAATTAATTCAACCCTGATGATGGAAAAAGAGACTCCGAAACGTCGCATGTTTCTCTTTTAATCAACGTCAAATGAAAATTCTCCAGTGATGATAAACCAAAAAGGCCACACGCTTTCAAAACCTCATCAAAATTACAACGCTGTTGGGCAGATCTGTCAAATTCTTTAAATTCTGAGTATCACAGTCCTCTTCAGGTAGTTCATGGCCGAACCCCTGAAGTGGGGATATCGTATCCTCAGAACTGTTTCCTGTGCACGACGAATCCAACGTGTGGTCAGCAGCTTGTGGTCGGGCTAGGTTCACACAGCTTAAACTGCGCGGATGCTGGGATCCGTCGAACAGGGCGAATGGAGCAGGCTACTATGATATGGTCACGATGGGTGTAGGCGGTAGTGGTTGTGACGTAAATCCTCGACCAGTAAGTTAAACTCCTAATTTTGAGGCCGAAGGATAATTAGAAGGATCAAGTCAAGGAGGATGAGATGAGCAGGGCATGTAGAACGAATGGGGAGACGAGGAATGCATATAGGATATTGGTGGGAAAGCCGGAAGGAAGGAGACCACTGGAAAGACCAAGATGTATGTGGGTGGATAATATTAAAATGGATCTTAAAGATATAGGATGGGATAATATGGATTTGATTGATCTGGCTCAGGATAGGGACCAGTGGAGGGCTCTTGTGAACAAGATAATGAACATTCGGGTTCCATAAAATGCTGGGAAGTTCTTGAGTAGCTGCACAACTGGCAGCTTCTCAAGAAGGGCTCAAGCTCCGTGAGTGAGAGAGTGAGTGTTATCATTATGAAGCAAAAGTCAGGTATTCCTAGAACAATGAGAAAAATTCTGCAGAACGAGCACGAGGAGAAACAGGAAGTAACAATGAAGACCAGATGTTGGCGACTCTGTACGACCTGGGGCTACATTCATCTTTCCACATCACTCGCTGGCGGCAGGCGGAGGCAATTTATTGAAATTTCGTGACATTTTATTAAAAAAGCGACTACCTTAGAGTAGAAACGGGCTCATATATTTCCCCAGTAAAGTTCTCTGACACATCTGTTGCACTGTTACGTTAACTAACTTTCCACTTCAAATTAAATATTTACTGGGCAGCCGGTAGCTACCATAACACGAGACAGAGTGGCAATGACGTACAGATGATGGATGAACTGTGAGAACAGGTAGGTTCATGGGTTCTAGTAGTGGCGGATCGTTACTCAGCTACATGCAGGCCGCTACCAGGGGTGACCCAACTTACTGAACACCGGCGCCGCACACTGTAATTTTCAAAAGTTCGGGATAGCGTAGGTTCTCCACGCAGCAGATGTTCTTTATTTATTTCAGCTCTAAAAGGAGGAGCGACTATTGTTTCTTACCGCGAGCAGCACTAACGGTTCATACGAACCACATTCGGCTCTCGAACCACATTTCGATGACTTCTGACCTACAGTATAACTAACTCCATGGAGCTGGGCCCTTTTTTTTTGACAGCTGTCAGTTCCTTAGCTACTCAAGAATTTCCCAGCATTTTATGGAACCCGAAGGTTCATTACCGTGTTCACAAGATTCCTCCACTTGTCCCTATCCTGAGCCAGATGAATCCGGTCCATACCACCCCATTCGATTTCTCTAAGACCACACAAATAAGTAGGCCTACACGCTTATACATATTACATACACAGTTTGCGTGAATAGTGAATTTACTAAAGACCGTTATGTCTCGTCCGCCGTCCAAAGATCATTATCCACTATTAACAGCTTTTAAACAGAGTCATCTACATTTTAAGCACTAGGGGGCCAACTAGGTTCTATGTTCAACATGTTCTGCTTCTGAACACCAAAGATAATTCCACGGATCCTTCGCTTTTTTGTCTCACTGTGAATAACGGACGAAATGTCTCTCCCTGTGCCGTGAATTGCGTGTGCTTCTCAGCGCGCTACACACACTTGCATCCGGAACTCAAGCACACAACTGCTATTTTTATACCTCGAAGATCTGCATAACCATTTTTTGCAAATACTGGTGCATAGACAATCAACTTCACGAATGGCACAGCGCAACAAGACCCTAATTTAAGTCAACGAACCTCAAGAATACGACAGGAACCTATCACATCTTACAGAATCAAGAATCTTTGCTTTTAATTTCTTAAAAATACAAAATATGCTTCAAATAAAACTTGTACACCCTTAATGAGGGCTACTTTACGTCATGTAGGCCTACCTCCTTATTTCTCAACATGAGCCGTTGCTGAAAACTGCTGAAATTTAGTCGAGAGTTATAATTAACCGATAAAAGAGGTAAAGTTGTCTCTGTGCTTAACTAATTAAGCACTATGCCACGAAGGCGTATGCGGGAGTGGATATATAGACCCACATTTTCTTGACGTCGGCACGTTGGAGGTGAGTGGTCAACTTCATGTCCCGGCCGCTTTATCCCCAGGGAAAGGACCCTTGATACCCATTGGACAGCAGGCTGGGTGGGCCCCAGAGCCGGGCTGGACGACATGGAGCAGTGAAAATTCCTGACCATACCGGGACTCGAATTCCGACCCCTTGGTCGTCCAGCCTGTAATCAGTCGCTATACCGACTGTACTATCCAGACTCTTCATAAATAATCGATAAGAACAAAAATCGATTAATCCCAACAACGTTTCGGGTAGAATGAACCGATTATTTCCTCGAAATATGAAAGCCGTTTCAGACGAAAAACAGAATGACGTACAGATCAATATGCGTTCACTTTATGCGCTTTGTAAAGAAAACCAAAATACACCTCCGTGAGACCGTTATGATCACAGAAAATATCTGCTTCCTGGCCAACCAGAGACAAACCATCGGGTGGAGTTTACTCAGCGCAGATGCCGTCATGCACAGGACAAGGCTTAACTAGAGGGATCTTGTGGAAACGCCGTAAACTGTGCTCTTTACGTCTGCTTCTCGTGTTCTTGCGACTAAAGGGGAACGAAGCAGATACAGGAACATTCTGCATTGCACTACAAGGCTATTCTTTACAGACGCGAAGCTTTTCGTCCATAGAATATCGCATTTCGAAGCTGTACGTCGGGCTGCAGACGTATAATTCAGACTTGCAGGCACGGTATATTATGAACACTCAGAAACATTTTTATATCACAGAAATATTATATTTTATCGACATATTGTGTGTGAAATAATCTATTATTGTTCCTTCACCACGATGTTTGTACAGTTACGCTAAACGTCATGATTTAACTACTGTGTTTCGACCTTTCTTGGCCATCATCAGGAACAAAGACCTTTCCTTACATTCAACTTTTTCTGTGGTATCTTAGTCCTCCCTACATATGTAAGAGTTTATTTTCAGTCTTTACGCTTTATGTATGCCCCTTTTGTATAAGTTGAATTAAGTATTATATTATTAAAATTAATTTTTACATCTTGTTTGAGTCTACATAACCTCGGCAAATGATCTAATACATCTGAAGACTACGCGTATATGCAATAACGTAGTTTGTTGGGGCACTACACTACTACCGGAAGGTCGCGGGTTCGATTCCTGATGAAGTCATTGGATTTTTCAATTGACTTAATCCTTCCAGCTGCATTATGGCCCTGAAATAGACTGAACCTCTAATAGAAATGAGTACCAAAAATCTTTCTCGGGGTAAAGGGCGGCCGGAACGCAAGGCTAACAACCTCACAATCTCTGAGCCAACTGTCTAGAAAATGTGGGATCCTTGACGTCTCAAAATCCTATGGGCCTCCATAGCCTGTTACAGGAATATCTTTACCTTACCTTATTTACGCTTGGGTTTCAAAGACGCTCTTACAACTGCAAAAGTTAACAAAATCAAATCAAATGAGGAACGGAGTAAGATTGTGAGAATACAGGGATATGAATGTAGCTGATACGGCATCTTCTCAATTGGAGAAGTCAAGAGAATCTAAATAAAATGAGGAAGTAAACACGAATGGTGAGCATAAGGAATAAGTGGATATGTTGGCACGCGCCATAGCTCAAGCGGTTAGTCGTTGGCTTCCCACCGCGGCGGCCCGGGTTCGATTCCGAGTCTGGTCAAGTGGGATTTGTGGTGGACAAAGTGGCGCTGAGGCAGGATTTCTCCGAGTACTTCGGTTTCCCTTGCCACTCTTCATTCCACCAATTGCTCCACAATCACCCTCACCTATTATCTGGGGCTGGTACAATAGGCCAGAAGTGACCGCAGTACAAGGGACTTAGTCCCACCTCCACTAGCAATAAAAAAAAAGCGGATATGTCTGAAGATATTATGACGGTGGTCGTCTACAGAACTTGAAGAAAACCACGACATCCTCAGGCAGGACAACCTGTAACA